TAAAAATTCAAGAACTTAGCAATTCGGCAAGAAACCTGCAACTGTATAAAAGGATGAACTAGAAAAGAAACATGCTGGAAATGTGATTTGTTCTATTGACAACATATAGCCACATAATTATTACTATGAAGTAATAAACTGGAAGAAAATAAAATGGAACCCTGTGCAATAAACTGGAAGAAAATAAAATGTCAAAATACTGATGATGCAAAAATGAAGAAAAAACATTATTGATTTTGTTTGATAAACCATCTAACATGATGACAGTCATTCAGCCTCAACTCTGGAGGTTACCTAAATGAAGAATCAATCTCTGTCGTCAACTAGCAATAGTGATTAGCAGCATATGAAACGACATTGACTGTTTTCTTTGCTTTTTTTGACAGAACTATTAAAGGTAAAACTAAGAACCATCATGTCTCTTTCTTTTGTTTCAAGCTAATAAGATAAAAATTCTACAGTAAGGATGTGAGGATTAAACATCTGAAGACATTGTTCAGTATATTGGTTCAATGGCAGCAAATATTTTATGCAGTAACTGATGGTCATGATAGTCTATGATCATCATGTCTTTAATCCTAAAGCTTAAATAAAGGCAGGACAAAAAGATAATGGTTGTGAACCTCCTTAATCAAAGAACAAACAGGAAATGTCGCTGCTGCCTGCATTGCACAAATATAGGACACCACATAGCTTGCCACATGCGATCAGCTCAAGGTCTGAACATGTATTATGATATTGAGATAATATAAACTAAGGATTTGAATTCAGCCAGTAACATGTGCATACTGGCTGGGCTGCTCAGGTGCATGAGTGCATACAGAATATGCTATGCACTGATGCCACTACATAGGCCAGCATGAGAACGTTCAGCATGTACCATCAAAAAATTTGTGCCAAAAGCCAAGCAACAGTGTGCTGCAAGTTGATCTCTAAACAAGGATTCTCCATATATGGGATCTCACCTTGAGCTTAGCTCTCCAAAACTCTCAAGCGGGGGAGGAACAACATGTCTTGAAATGTGAATTCCATACTTCTTACGCAGAATAGAAGCTTTCTGAAGCAAGAAACAAAAATTTTAAGGTATGGAAACAAAAAAGAATCATTCAACAAAAAAAAAAACAAAATTAGACCAAAACCACCTCAATCTCCTTTTCCACATCCTTCTTCATCTCAGCAGAAGTAACCTCCAAAGCATTTCTTTCTAGAATAGAGGACAAAGACTCGGAACTCTTGAACACACTGAACCCCTCCACTGCATCTCATACACCAAATCCCAAACAAGATTATGACATGTAAACGAAGCTCACATCACACAAAAGGTGTGTGTAGGTAAGCCAGAGATGCAACCAGAAGAGTCCTTATCCTTGCGCTTCCGCTTCTTCTCCTTCTTGTTCGCCTTCACCTTTGGCAAGGCATCCGGCGCTGCATCCGCTATGCCCTCAAGATCATCCGGTTCTTTCTTCGGCTGCTGCAACAAAGAACAAAGATTCAAGGATTAAAGTCAATCCAAAACAGGGAATTGGTTCACAGACCAGCACAAAATCGGTTGTCATGGTTGTCCAAGTATCTTATATTGCCAACTAAAAGGGCTCTTTAGCAGATGTATAATAGTCTATGTAAAATAGAGTAGAAAGGCATCTGTAAACCAAAGAAGAAGGTAGGAACAACATGTCATACCATAGAAGAGGCTTAGGAACATCATGGTCTTGCATAATTACCAAAATTAAAGTTATGGCTTTTGTTCTGGCAACAAATAGTGAGAAAATGTCTTCAGCTAGTGAAGGTGAAACAAAGGTAGAGGAATGCTGATGGACAGTGCTTCAGCAACTGCAGTGCTTGTAATTAAAGTTTCAGTAATGCTTGTGAAAGGTCTAAGAAGAGTAAACACACAAAAAACCAAGAACCAATAAATTTCATTACCTTCCTCCATGCATAGCCTCTGTTGGTTTTCTTTTGAGCTTTGTCAACATAATAAAGATGGACCTTGGAAAAAACTAATATGCATGTTTCTAATTGAGGAAAAATTTAAATCCATGAATGCAAATTAGTAATTGCAAAGATAAGTCTAGTCTGTACAGAACAGGAAAGCAAGTGTATTCATGATATCAATGTAATCAACATCTACGGAAACAGGAAAGCCCTCTACAACTAATTGATCTAGATTCAATATGCTTGAGTAAAGGCAAATTCACTTTATTCTTCTTCAAGTAATCTCCTGAATAAGACCCAAATAATATTTATTGTTTTTCTCCTTCCCTAAGGTAACATTTTCAGCCTTTTCTTTTGGTACATTTCATAAACAATTTAGGAAAAAAAAGTTGTGTTGTGCTTATATATTCTGAAGGACAATTTATTAACTTGATATCAGTGGGCATAATGAAAAGCAAACTCAATTAGATTGTCTAAATATTTAAATCATCATGATATATTACCCAAAAGTAGGATGAATATGCAATGTCTTGAATAAGATTATCAAATAAGTAAGTGATGACTCCCAAACAAACTAGGTGATGACTACCAAACAAACCAGCCGATTGCAATATTCCAAATACCAATAGGCATTGGCTGGCTCCCAATATCTGAGACACCACATTTGACAACGATCAAAGTTGCAACCACTTGAACCAAGGTTTGTAATTTTGTATTGTGCCGATATTTCGAGCTTTGCTCAGTACGGTATGATATAGGTGTACCGAGCGATACATATCTATATATATATATATATATATATATATATATATATATATATATATATATATATATATATATATATAT